GGATGGGAGGGGCAGAGGCAGACAGGAGCAAGAACTGGGTCAAGAGCAGACAGACAGACAGAATCATAACAGAGTGTGGCATTCCATCAATAGCCGTCTTTCCATTCGATTTTAATTCAAAATTTGAGCAAATTATTTTAAACTTCACAAAAAGGAAAAAATGAAGAAATGCAAATTAGACATGTTTCCATCAACTGGCTTGAAATTAATCAAATACATCAGATGCATGTGTGTAGTAAACAGGAAGTAAAAGGCGCACTCGCAGGGTCCACACATCTCAGGATCATGGAGAGAAGTTATCAGGAGCGCGTTGCTAATGTCATGAAAGTAGGGCTGCTCGATTATTGCAAAAACTATAATCACAATGTTTTTGATTGGAAATGAGATCTAGATTTAACAAAATTATTCATTCACTTTGATAACATAAATTTATTGAACATAAACAATGGCTGTTAAATAATGTTTCCCTCAATATTTTTGAAAACATTAGACCAAGTGAAACTTTGGCTGTGTGAAGAGCCTGCAGCATGGTGCCGGCAGTGACACTGGATTCACAACACAAAGCAGCGTAAGTGTAAACTGTGAACTTCGATCATTATGTTTTTATGATCGTTGAAAACCCAAATCATAATCAAGATCAAAATCTGATTAATTGCCCAGCCGTACGCGAAAGTTGTAATTATTCTGTCGTATCAACTAGTTCTGGCGATGTTACACGCTGTCTGGAGACGTATAGAAAGAAACGTGATTCTCTTCACGTTACGGGAATAACTGAGAATATGCCGACAGTGGGAGGAGGGTCCTGCTGCCAGTCGCGGCTTCAGGACACTACTTACCTGCGTCAAATGTAATTACTAAAAGTGATTTCTAAGCATATTTTTCCTACTATTATATACAGGTAATTACAAACTAATTMTATTTATCTAATCTTTAATATATGCTTACTTTTGGTAAATATACTATGTGATGGGTCAGCCTCTTGGTAAAACCATATAGTGTGTGGGTGAATTCTCCATATATGTCTATCCACAATATTGAAATGCATTTCTCTGCTTTGGTTAGCTCAGTTACTTTTCGTTATTGTGCAGATCTTAACAGTCTAAGATTGCATTGCCTCAAGGGATCTCTGTCTATATCAGACCTTAATATTATAAGAGCTYTGYGTGTTCCCTTTATTTGCCAATGAAGCACAAACATGCAAAGATATGCACTATTTTCTCTGTGTGTTTTTTACTTTAGGACTATTTTTGGTTGTGAGCTGTTAGGMAACTTTAACATGCCGAGCATTTTTAAACAAGGAGACATAATGATTGGGGSGATTTTTCCARTTTTTAMCAAAGAGATRAGCACCACTTCTACATTTGAAAGAGAGCCTCCTGCAGTCATATGTGAAGGGTATACATTGTTATTTGGATTTTTCTTATGTATGCATGTTTAGTTACAATTTAAAACATTTGTCATTCTCTATATTTTCTCTAAATTCTCTTACTTTTTTTGTTTAGATTTGATCTGCGAGCTTTTCGATGGACTCAAATGATGATATTTGCAATTGAAGAAATCAACAGAGATCCTGCTCTCCTTACAAACATATCTCTTGGTTACAGGATTCTTGACTCTTGTGCATCTCCCACYAATACTTTACGTGCTACACTAACTCTTGCTAGTCAACCAAATAAGATCAAGTCAGCTCCTCTTTGTTCACCAGCCCTATCTGCTCTTGTAGCAGAGTCAGGGTCCTCTCRGTCCCTTGCTATTGCTGCAACCCTCGGACCATTTCAAATACCAATAGTAGGAGCTTTTATCYCTCGATTTTTGYRGGTTAAAATATGTAGTCTGAATATTTTTGTGGTCTTTGAAAACCCTTTTTTCTTGTTTTCCCCCTTAGGTAAGTTATTTCTCAACATGTGCTTGCCTCAGTGATAGAGCTAAGTTTCCTACCTTTTTTCGGACTATCCCAAGTGATTACTTCCAGGCGAAAGCTTTGGCAGCACTCATTAGACATTTTGGCTGGGAGTGGATTGGAGCCATACAGTCAGACAATGATTATGGAYGAAATGGCATCCTGGCTTTTAAAGAGGAAGTTGAAAAGTTTGGAGTTTGTATTGCTTTTGTTGGGACAGTTCTACGTACATACCCTGTAGAAAAGATTCTTCAAGTTGTGGAAATGATCAAACAATCAACTGTCAAAGTAATTGTTGCTTTTSTTYCTGAGGGGGACTTTTACCCTTTAATGGAAGAAATTGTCAAGCAGAATCTTACAGGATTTCAGTGGATTGCAAGTGAAGCATGGATAACAGCTACTCGACCCTCCACACCTGAAATGTACCAGACTTTTGGTGGGGCTCTGGGTTTTGYGGTGCAGAAGATGGCTATTCCAAATCTGAGTCCATTTCTCATGAATATTAGCCCATATACAGATCCAAGTGCAGCTTTTATTAAGGAATTCTGGGAGAAAATTGTTGGCTGTAAACCTGTCTTGCCTAGTATTGACACAAGTACTGAGAAAACAAGTAAAATATGCACAGGCAATGAGACGTTGATGCATTCCCAGGATATGTTTTTCAATACCACAGAATTAAGGGTAACATATAATGTGTATAAAGCTGTTTATGCTATTGCACATGCCCTTCACCAGCTGGTATTCTGCAAACCAGCAGGAGAAAAAGAAATGAGGCCTTGTGTGAATGTATCTGACATTCAGCCTAAAGAGGTGAAAGATGCAGATCAAATCAACAATATTTTCACTTATRTGCTATTCAGATTTAAAGCAGGTTTTCTCTGCATTTAAACATCTAACATACATTTTTTTGTCCTTTTGCACAGGTCACGTTTCATCTCCAAAGGGTCAACTTTAGGAATCAATTTGGGGATTCTGTGTTTTTTGATGAGAATGGTGACCCTCCTGCTTCCTATGATATTATTAACTGGCAGATGAAAAATGGGCAGGTGCAACATGTGACTCTGGGTCATTTTGCAATTGCTGAAAATGGTGACTACAAACTCACCATACAAGAAGAAAAGATAGTGTGGAGGACTGAAAAAACAGTAACTAATAAAAYTTTTTGTTGTTCTTTGAGCTGTGTTTTAAAAAAATCTATTTATGAGACATGAAATGTGTTCCATTATTCTGACATACTTGATTTTTCCCTTTAGGTCCCCACATCTGTGTGCTCTAATGTTTGTACAAAAGGTACAAGGAAAGCGCAAATCAAAGGAAAACCCACTTGCTGTTTTGATTGTATTGCATGTACAGATGGAACTATAGCCAACTCAACAGGTAGACAGAAAGTTGTGGACCACAGTAATTCAAACATATACAGCCCTAGTGTTATTTATGCTTTTGTTGATTGWTTTTCACAATTAAAAATGTACTTTTCTATAAAACTGTACATATGACAAATATCCACAGGTGCTGAGCATGTTTTCTCAACAGGTGCGTCAGACTGCATACCCTGTCCACTTGAATACTGGTCCAATGAGAGAAAAGATGAGTGTATTCCTAAGAAAATTGAGTTTTTGACATATCAGGAGCCAATGGGAATAGTTCTTACAGTTTTATCACTGCTCGGGGCCTCCCTGTCTCTGGTCACCATGGCAATTTTCATCCACTGCAGWGAAACTCCTGTAATCAAGGCCAGCAACTCTGAGCTGAGCTGCTTCTTGTTGTTTTCTCTTTGCCTTTGTTTTCTTTGTCCTCTCACTTTCATTGGCAGACCAACAGTGTGGACATGCATGCTGCGCCACACAACATTTGGTGTGACATTTGCACTTTGCATTTCCTGTATCTTGGGAAAAACAATTGTTGTTGTCACAGCTTTCAAAGTTACACATCCGAGCAACAAACTAGCAGGAAAGTTTGGTCCTGCACAGCAAAGGATCATTGTTTGCTCCTGTGCTTTGATTCAAATACTGATATGTGTTTTGTGGCTGAAGTTGAGCCCTCCATTCCCAGAGAGGGTTTTCAAATACAGCAACAAAAAGATAGTTCTAGAGTGCAACACAGGATCTGAGGTTGYCTTTTACTCAGTGCTGGGATACATAGGGATCCTTGCAGTAATATGTTTGGYTCTTGCATTTCTAGCAAGGAAGTTGCCAGATAACTTCAATGAAGCCAAATRTATYRCATTCAGCATGCTGATATTCTGTGCTGTATGGATCACATTTATCCCAGCATATATCAGCTCTCCTGGGAAGTTCACTGTTGCTGTGGAAATATTTGCAATTTTGTCTTCATCGTTTGGCTTACTGATTAGCATTTTTGCCCCTAAATGTTACATAATATTTGTAAAACCAGAGAAAAACACCAGGAGACATGTCATGGGAATAAATGCAAACAAAAAGTATGATTTGAATATAAAAGGTTTTTAACCATGATAAATATTCAAGATAACAGTTCGTCACTATATAAGGATCGTCTGTAAAAGAAGCAATGAAAACAAATGAAATGTTTACAAATTCATCAATCTTCACTGAAACAAGTAAATAAAACCTTTTTATTTAGTACAACTGCACAGTTGTTTTTGTGTTTTAGGCATACAGGAGCTTATATTCATCAAATTACCTACCTACCTTGTCTCACTCTGCTGTTGACATTTCCGAATGTCCAGTACAATTTTTTAACAATATTTTTTAATTTATTTGAGAATTTTTATCCTCAATATGAAGCCTAGGAGTAAATTCAGACTGGAAGACTCTCTGCACTTCACCTGCTCCACCCAATCACTACGTCACGCTCCCAGCTGCAGTCAATCAGCGTCAGACCCTCGTCTCACCATACGAATCAACTCACAGGGATCCAGGTCTGCTCAGCACCCAAGGATCAGGCTACTCTCCTGACGTGTTCAACCCACCTCCACCCCTTCTCCACCTTCATCTCAGACTCTGCCAGGCTACCCCTTCCCTCTGGCCTCCACACCACCACCACTGTCCAAGCCCCGGGGGGAAGACGTTACTCCTAAATCCTAAACTGAGTGCTAGCTCACAGTAGTTCGCTGCACTCATGTCTTCTGCCGGGTCTCGAGCGCCATAAAACTCTCACTTTCTCACTGCCGTATTTCTGTGTGTAAGTCTTCCCAGGTTGAAATGCAATTACATAAAAAAAACAGTCAGAACAAAAGAACGAATAGCGACTCTACATGTAATGCACTCAAAAAACTATTTTCCAGCCAAATAAAATATGTATACACTTTCCACAATGATGTGTCACCATAAAAATAAAAATAAGATGTATTAATAGACCAAATGAAGACAACTAATATTCATAATTAAACCCAACCAAAGTAGTCAGTGACAGGAGCCCATAAATCTGTAAACAGATCCAGTTTCAAATTAAATTTTGCTGTATTTTTTTCCATTATGTAAACATTTTTCAAACCATTTTGCCATTGCATAAGTGTGTGAGGCAGTGMTTGAAACCAAGAATGTGTTATCGTTTTCATCACCACCATAAAACAGATTTGGAGTATTTTAACTTCATTTTTTAAGTCCTCCTCTTGGCATCAAACCCAAAATATAGTCTTTAGGATCAAATGGCAAATTAGATTTTAACATAGTTTGAACTTCTCCATGAATTYCTTGCCAGTAAGATTTTAAAACCGGGCAATCCCAAAAAAAATATGTAGATGGTCACCCTTTTGTCGGCAACCTCTCCAACATAGATCACTTTTATTTTATAATAGATGGTGTCCTAAAAAAATGTAATCCTGATTTTCCAATTGAACTCCTTCCATGTCGGGCTATTTGCTAGTTTATGACCTAAGCATGCTTCCTCCCATTTTTCCTCTTCAATAATTGTGTTTGCCTCCAGCTCCCACTTCCCCTTTATGTCCATGGAATTATCGGACAGACCTAATTGTAAACATTTATACAAGTCTGATATTATTTTATCATGTTTTTATCTTTAATCACCTTAATCAAAAAGTGTTCAATTGGATTTGGTAACTGTTTCAGGGTGTCCCATTCYGAGCATGATAGTACATATTCTCTTGTTTGTAAATACCTACAGTACAAAAGTTGTTGGAGCCTAGTCCAAATTTGTCTTGCAGTTGTTGAAACAGGGGTGTCAAACTCCAGTCCTCGAGGGCCGCTATCTTGCATGTTTTAGAGGTTTTCCAGCTCCAACACACCTGATACGTGATTGAATTAACTCTTCAAATTGGGCAGAAGCCTGTTAATCACCCAGCGATCAAAATCAGGTGTGTTGGAGCAAGAAAACCTCTAAAACATGCAGGATAGTGGCCCTCGAGGACTGGAGTTTGACACCCCTGTTTAATATCTCACTATGAAACAACTGATGTATGGTCATTAATCCTTTTTCTGCCCAGTTCTCAAATCTAAAATCTGTTCTATTAGGAGTAAAGTCTGCAATTTTAGAAATTCTGAGTGCCCGTGATGTTGTTAAGGGTGCACCAGTCTTCCTCCTCAAATGTGCCCATACACGCTGTGTACATCTAATCCATTCATTATTTATTCCAAGATATCTCCATTTTTTCAGTTCTAGGAAAGGTGCAGTTCCCAGTGGAACATTTTTGCATGCATAGTTTTCTATTTTGATCCAATTTGTTTCCCCATCCCAAGATACCCATTCAATCAACGCCTGCATCTTTGCTGCCCAGTAATATAGTTTAAAATTGGGCAAACCTAGACCCCCATTTTTCTTTGGGCTACATAATAGTTTCAGACGGATTCTAGATTTTCTTCCTTGCCACACAAATGGAGAGATCATTTTCTCTATCAACTTTAAAGTGCTAGATGGAATCCAGATAGGTAGAGCCTGAAACAAATACAACAGGCGAGGAAGAATATTCATCCTGTCTCTATTCTCCCTATCAGTGATAATGTAAGGATTTCCCAACGTGCCAGGTCAGATTTTATTGCTGAAATAAATTTTCCATAATACTCTTTATATAACCGTGAAGTTTGTGGGGTGATTGTTATTGGTGAAACCCTGAGAGGGCCAATTAAACTGAGCAACTTCATCTAGATCCGTCAGCCTGTCCTCAACCAACATAACTGCCTGCTACTTGTTTTCATTAACCTTGTAGCCTGACACCTTCCCAAACTCTCTCAGGCAGTCTAAAAGTGCTGGAATAGAGGTCAATGGGTTGGTAATGTACAATTTGATGTCATCCGCATATAATGAAATTTTATAATCAATTCCATCTACTGTTACTCCTTGTATATTTATGTTGTCTCGTATCATTTCTGCCAAGGGCTCTACACTTATCATAAACAGTAATGGAGAGAGCGGACAACCTTGCCTAGTTCCTCTTTTCGATTCAAAAGCCTTGTATTCATTTACTCATACCTTAGAAATGGGTCCCGTGTACAGCATCTTGATCCAATTAATAAGCAGTACACTTTTGTATTTCAATTTTGTTTTAAAACTAAAGTTTTAGGTTGAATTTAATTTTTTTTANCAGAACAGGAACCTGCTGTAAAACAGCAATTATGCTGAGTCAGGCATGATTTTTAGTAATCTTTTCCTGTTAAATCAATAAATCAAATCAAATCAAAGTCATTGGAGCCTAGTCCAAATTTGTCTTGCAGTTGTTGAAAAGGTTTTAATATCTCACCATAAAACATCTGATGTATAGTCATTAATCCTTTTTCTGCCCAGGTCTCAAATCTAAAATCTGTTCTATTAGGAGTAAAGTCTGCGATTTTAGAAATTCTGAGTGACCGTGATGTTGTTAAGGGTGCGCCAGTCTTCCTCCTCAAATGTGCCCATACACGCTGTGTACATCTAATCCATTCATTATTTATTCCAAGATCTCTCCATTTTTTCAGTTCTAGGAAAGGTGCAGTTCCCAGTGGAACATTTTTGCATGCATTGCTTCCTAATTTGATCCAATTTGTTTCCCCATCCTGAGATACCCATTCAATCAACGCCTGCATCTTTGCTGCCCAGTAATATAGTTTAAAATTGGGCAAACAAAGACCCCCATTTTTCTTTGGGCTACATAATAGTTTCAGACAGATTCTAGGTTTTCTTCCTTGTGACACAAATGGAGAGATCATTTTCTCTATCAACTTAAAAGTGCTAGATGGAATCCGGATAGGTAGAGCCTGAAACAAATATAACAGGCGAGGAAGAATATTCATCCTAACTGTCTCTATTCTCCCTATCAGTGATAATGTAAGGATTTCCAAATGTGCCAGGTCAGATTTTATTGCTGAAATCAATTTTCCATAATACTCATTATATAACCGTGAAGTTTGTAGGGTGATTGTTATACCTGAATCCCTGAGAGGGCCAATTAAATTGAGCAACTTCGTCTAGATCCGTCAGCCTGTCCTCAACCAAGATGACTGTCTGCTACTTGTTTTCATTAACCTTGTAGCCTGACAACTTCCCAAACTCTCTCAGCCAGTCTAAAAGTGCTGGAATAGAGGTCAATGGTTGGTAATGTACAATTTGATATCATCCGCATATAATGAAATTTTATAATCAATTCCATCTACTGTTACTCCTTTTATATTTATGTTGTCTCGTATCATTTCTGCCAAGGGCTCTATACTTATCACAAACAGTAATGGAGAGAGCGGACAAACTTGCCTAGTTCCTCTTTTCAATTCAAAAGCCTTAGACATATATTCATTTACTCATACCTTAGAAGTGGCGGCACGACGGCTCAGTGGTTAGCACCGACGCCTCACAGCAAGAAGGTCCTGGGTTCGATCCCCGGTTCGGACCTGGGGTCTTTCTG